GGTCCAGATCCATCATTGTTTGAGTCCACAGTGCTCTCTGGATGTAGGTGAACTACAACTCCAAAACTCAAGGTCAATGCCACCAAACCCTTCCAGTATTTTCTGCTGGTCATGGGAGTTCTGTGTGCCAAGTTTGGTTCAGTTCCATCATTGGTGGAGTTCAGAATGCTCTTTGATTGTAGGTGAACTATAAATCCCAGCAACTACAACTCCCAAATGACAAAATCAATCCCCTCCCAACCCCACCAGTATTCAAATTTGGGCGTATTGGGTATTTGTGCCAAATTTGGTCCAGTGAATGGAAATACATCCTGCATATCAGATATTATACATTACGATTTATAACAGTAGCAAAATTACGGTTATGAAGTAGCAGTGGAAATAATGTTATGGTTGGGGGTCAACACAACATGAGGAACTGTATTAAGGGCTCGCGGCATTAGGAAGGTCGAGAAGCACTGACCCAAGTGAGTTACTTTTGAACGCATCCACCCCTATGTCCCACCTAGAAACGATCATCATGGGAGGCCCTGCTCTCGCTCCCATCAACAGCACAAATGCGCCTGGTGGGGATGAGAGACGGGGCCTTCTCAGCGATGGCTCCCCGCCTATGGAACACACTCCCAACTGAGGTTAGTTCGGCCACCTCCCTCCTAGCTTTTTGAAAGATACTAAAGGAATGGTTCTGGGACCAGGCTTTTGGACAATAGATGCAAGCAGCACTTTAAGGGAATGTGACTGGAACAACGATATGGCTGAAAGCAGATTCCATCTGAAAATTAGGAAGAACTTCCTGACTGTGAGAGCTGTTCAGTAGTGGAACTCTCTGCCCCGGAGTGTGGTGGAGGCTCTTTCTAACAGAGGCTGGATGGCCATCTGTCAGGGGTGCTTTGAATGCAATATTCCTGCTTCTTGGCAGGGGGTTGGACTGGATGGCCCATGAGGTCTCTTCCAACTCTATGATTCTATGATGAGACTGTTTTAATGTTTTAATCATAGCTTATGTATTGTTAATTATGCTTTTATGTTTAATTGTGGTTTTAATTACTGTAATTTGTTATGTAATGGCTTCAGAATGAGGCCCATTGTAAACTGTCCTGAGTCCCCCTTCGGGAGTTGAGAAGGACAGGATAGAAATGTGAGAAATAATAATAAATAATACTTCTACAGTGTGTCAGAAGAGGTCAGACTGAATTCAACTAAGACTGGGATCCTGCTCAGGGACAGGAATGACAATGGATGGACTAACAAGGCTGTAAACACAATGGATGGAACAAACGCAGGGTCAGGGGTTGGGGACAGTGTGCATTCCCTGATCTGGCTTTGATCCTTATCACACTACGCTGCTTTAGTGCTGTAGAGTCAGTCCTGTTCAGCATTATAGCATTCTGAGATCCATAGGTGCCAGCAGGTGACATTTCTGCAAGGGAGGCCTTTTCTGTCCTTTTCCTCCCCACCCCATCCAAGCAAACTCTGATTATGAAAGACAGCGGAGAGAGATCCGCTCCCACTCGCAAAGCAAGACAATAAACGTCTTGTTCAGGTCTCCCCTCCTCCCTTTGCCTGCTCAGCGTCACCAGCAAGATGTCCCTTGCTGCAAGAAAAGGGGAGAATGCCAGGCATTCTGTAGGCTCAGCAAATGGGGTGGCGGTGGCAGAGGTGTGGGGCGGAACACAACCAAGGCATGGATTTGCAAGAACTGGGGATGGAGGGCTCAGGCAAAGGGTTCGGCCCCACCACGGATACTGTTGAGAGTCAAGCCAAGAACATCATGTCCACTCTGCGTTCACTTTAATTTTGGAAGCTAAGCAGGGTCAGGTCTGGGTAATACTTGGAGGGGGTACTATTGGGCAAGATGGGAATGGAAAACTATGAAGTCTAGAGAGGGGGGCACATAAACCTCCCAGGAGATCCCGAAGGGTCAAACCATGTTATCACAAAAATACTTGTTTTTGCCCCCAAATGCCCTCTTGGACAAGGCATCTTAAACTTTTCTACTCACACCCTTTTCATCCTGTTATGTACCTAACATATATATCAATATTAAATATTTATGATGAGAGAAGAGGGGTAAGAAAATTCTTCTTCTTCTTCTTCTTCTTCTTCTTCTTCTTATTATTATTATTATTATTATTATTATTATTATTATTTATTTGAAACACAACAAGATGAGTCCACAGCAAAGAAGATCACTCTGCTGGCTGTTGTATTGGATCACACGTCGGACACTTCCCAAGTGTCTAGGACTGTGTGATGTATTGGCGAATAATGCGTGCAGATCCCAGTAAGGTGGCCTTTTGCAGCTGGCAGATGGTAATCTTGTCAGCGCCGATTGTGTTTAAGTGCAGGCCAAGGTCTTTAGGCACTGCACCCAGTGTGCCAATCGCCACTGGGACCACCTTTAGTGGCTTGTGCCAGAGTCTTTGCAGTTCGATCTTTAAATCCTATTATTATTATTATTATTATTATTATTATTATTATTATTATTTACTGATAATATATCAGCATTTCCAAGCCTTGCTAAGCAATATGTTTCTTTGGGTTGCTGTGAGTTGTTCAAGTCTGTATGGTCTTGTTCCAGAAGCATTCTCTCTTGATGTTTCGCTCACATCTATGGCAGGCATCCTCAGAGTTTGTGAGATCTGTTGGAAACTAGGCAAGTGAAATAATGTCCAGGGTGGGAGAAACAGTGGTAAAATTACAGTTATGAAGTAGCAACGAAAATAATTTTATGGTTGGGGGTCACTACAACATGAGGAATTGTATTAAGGGGTCACAGCATTAGGAAGGTTGAGAACTACTGGTGTAGATGCCTCTTAAGAGATGTGGTGGCCAACCTCTCTGCTGCAGGCTAGGTCCCAAGGAGGAGGCATTAGCCTTTCTCCAAGACTACCCTGGAAGGAGCTGTGCCAACAGAGCTGCCTGAGGAGGTGTTTTCGGAACGGTTCCCAGAATGCGGGCAATGCCTCTGCGGACTCCGCCAAGACGCAGCACCCCTTTGTCTCCTGGGTCCTGGGAATGTGCGGCATTGAGCTGTGACCTTTTGGGGAATGGCGTGGCGTGGGTCCCCGGAGTCTGGGCGTGGGAATGAAATGCCACCCATCAGCCACAGCCATGGGATTCCACCGGGAAGGGAGGGATGCAGAGAGGGAGACCTTGATGGAACTTGAGCAAGGAAGGAGACAAAGAAATAACGAAGGAAGGAAGGAACCAAATGACAGTCATTACATTGTGGGATACAGAGAGATGAGAAAGGGCTCTTTTTAGAGAGTCTGCGGGCAAGAATACTGGTGAGAGGGGTGAAATAACTTTGCCTTCCCCTTTCCTAGTAGCACCAAGACTTTCCAAACCTTTCAAGAGGCTGGATAGAGGATAGAGCAAGTTAGGAGCCTTTAATGGAGATGAGGAGGCTGGAAATTGTTTCACGTGGGAGATACAAGGGATTGTGGGGATGGACTTCCCGCCCCCATAATTCCATATCTCTCTCATATGTACCAATCTCCAGCCTCTCTGGACTCTCATCTCCATTAATGACACCTCAAAGGTCTTTTTGAGTTGAATGCAATGTTTTCATCTAGCTTTTATTTTGTTGTAGTTCAGCCTGTGACAGTATCTGATGTTTATGATGGCAATGGGGTTGAAGGGTTTTCTGGTGAAGGGTTTTCTGGGCCCGGGTCTGTTAGCACTGGGCATGAGGGCCTCAACAGGCGAGAGGCCCGAGGTGTCTCATGAATGGAGTGTTTCTCCTGCAGATTCACAAGGTCACATTCCTGGGAGAAGCCCTCAACAGTCTTTCTCTGAGAAACAACTGTCTTCTGAGGATGATTTGTCAGGTGCAGAATTGAATGAGAGTGAAGATAGAAAGCATGACTTTTGTAAACAAAGGCAAAGTTCTCAGGCGCAACAAAAGTCAATTTGCCTGCAGGAAAAGAGAGATAAGAAATCCTTACCTGGATGCAAGGGCAAGAGAAATGCTTTCCTTTCAGTTCTGGGATCAGGAAAAGCTTTATATTGATACAAGGGAAAGAGTTAACTCAATCTCGTCAATGGTGGAATTTCATTATGGTCTTGTTTCCAAGTGTTCCTAGTTTCTGTTTCCAAATTTTGTCAGGCCTCTGATCTCTGTATTGCATTTTCATGCTGCCTTGATCAATGGATTTTATGCCTTTGGATCTTGTGTTTTTACCTTTGTGCCTTGATACTCATGGACTTTCTTTTATCTTTGAACCATACGGTTTTTACCATTTTTAGTGTTTTGCTTTCTGGTGGCGCAGTGGATTAAACCACTGAGCTGCTGAACTTGTTGACTGAAAGGTCACAGGTTCGAATCTGGGGAGCAGCATGAGGTCCCACTGTTAGCCCCAGCTTCTGCCAACCTAGCGGTTCAAAATCATGCAAATGTAAGTAGATCAATAGGTACTGCTCTGGCAGGACTGCGCTCCATGCAGTCATGCCGGCCACATGCCCTTGGAGGTGTCTACGAACAACGCTGACTCTTTGGTTTAGAAATGGAGATGAGCACCAACCCCCAGAGTTGGACACGACAGAGTTGGACACGACTGGACTTAATATCAGAGGAAAACCTTTACCTTTTACTTACTTTGCTTACATATATTCTTCAATAAACTTCTTGCTGATTATACCAAGCTGGTGTGGTCTTTAAGGACAGAGGTGTTCCTGATCTGGTGTGCAACATATTTGTACTTCTGCTGTTGTTTTGCATTATCTCTTACAGCATAAGTAGCATCATGGTAAAATTAAATCTGTTAAATTCCAGGCCAGCCGGACTAACGTGTCCACTCTACAAGACACCCACCAAGGCATTTCCCTGTCCATCCCTCTGTGATGTATGCCATTCTCTGTTGTCCCAATGGACCCTTCCCCAGTCCAGTTTGGTTCGCCTGCTACTGAAATGCTACCTGGAAATGGAAGGCAACAAAAGAATAATAGTGTCAGAGGAAAAGGCTGTGAAAACTAATGATGTGCTCTCCTTCCTACAGCTGCAGAGAGCCTCCCGCCAGAAAGCAATGTGTTCAGGACTAGACAGCAGTCAACAGTAAGTACTTTCCTCCTAGTTCACTGCACTGGGCTGTTCTACCCTTTTGGAGGGTGCAGAAGCCCAGCCTATAGTAAATGTGGGGTGGAGGCTGGGAACTGAAATGAATGTAACTGTCTTTGTATTCATTCCTCTTGATTGGCCTTTATGCCTATTTCTCAGATGAGTAGCCTGAGTCGTTCCCAACACTTAGTATTAAATCCATGGGTTTGTGTAGGCCCCAGTGGACAGTTGTGGGTCCTGAACAAACCCATGGACTTAACACTAAGTTCCACTCTGAACCAAAAGACAAATACTTTCTTATTCAAACAGGCCTTCAACCTTTCAATGCTCTTGGTAAAAGGGTGAGCACTGGGTCTGCTCTTTCTTTCTATATGTGGAATTTGATTGTTTTTAAAACATATATGTATTATAATGGAAATGGGGGGGGGACTTCATTACATTATATCTACTAATGCATATAGCATTAAAAAAAACCATAAAGAAAGACAAGACTAATATTAATTAACCAACATCCCCTACAAACTACTCAGTATTACCGTATACACTCGAGTATAAGACGACCCAAATATAAGCCAAGGCACCCAATTTTATCACAAAAATTGGGAAAATGTATTGACTCGAGAATAAGCCAAGGCTGGAAAATGCAGAAGCTACTAGTAAATTTCAAAATCAAAATAGATACCAATAAAATTACATTAATTGAGACATCAGGAGGTTAATTGTTTTTTGAATATTTACATAAAACTGTAATTTACGATAAGACTGTCTCTGATTAAATCATTAGTCTAACCTTCTTCAATGTAAATGTGCTTACATATCCTTCCAATAATAATAGAGTAAAAAAATAAATGTAATAATAATAATAATAGAGTAAAATAATAAATGTAATAATAATAATAATGAGTAAAATAACAAATGTAATAATAATTGAGTAAAATAATAAATGTAATAAAAATAATAGAATAAAATAATGTAAATGTAATAATAAATAGATTAAAATAATAAATGTAATAAAATAATAATAATAATAATAATAATAATAATAATAATAGAGTAAAATAATAAATAACTTTGTTTCTAGTATAAGTTGAGGGGGGCTTTTTCAGTCTAAAAAAAAGAACTGAAAAATTCGGCTTATACTCAAGTATATATGGTACTACTACACTATCCACAAAAAGGAAAGAACATAAAAAAATTGATTTCACAGCTTCCACGCCTAGGACGTAGATAGATATGTAAAAAAATCTCATTCACTTCTTTCTTTCTGTTTCACAAATAGCAAAACTTCTACTAACAATTGTACTAGAAAAACATAATATTCAATATCCACATTACTTTCAAAACCATGGAAAACAATTCTGTTCAGTAGGAAAAAGAGCTAAATAACACTATTTTACCTCTTCTCCCTGCTGTACAGAATTGTTTTCCATGGTTTTGAAATTAATGTTTGAATGGATTTCATTGCTAAATGCTTCTAAAACATTTGTACTAGACGTTGTTTGAGTTATTTTCCTTGGACTTGCGTTATCAGCGGGTTTGGGTCCCATAACAGGAGAAAGTGGGGAGATATAAGTCAAATCAACCATTCAATAAGGAAGGAGGCAAGCAAGCAAACCCTTATTGTGATGTAACACATCAATAGGATGATTTCCAGAATCTCAAGATATATTGACAAGACTTTAGTCCAAATTGTTTATTCCACAATCCGTTCAGATGGCCTTCTTCAGGAGCTGTCAAAGAGAGACTTGTTCCTGGGCCCCTAGATGGGAACTTCCAGGAAGGAGGCTCTTGAGAAGCTTTCCAAGTCCTCTTCTTACTATTTCCTTGTTTTCTGTCCTCTCCAGGTAGTAGAGCCAAAAGGGAATGAGCAACCTGCCCAGGTCCAGACTCCCACAAGTCCACATACCCACCTGCCCCCAGAGGAAGCAGCAGACCCGGAAAGAGCTGTAGGTTTGGAAGAGGAATGGGGCAACGGAAGGGAGTGTTTTTCTGCATATCTGTGGGTTGAGGGCAAGGCTATCCATGGGTATGAGCCAGAAGGGCTCTCTATTACCCCTAGGACCCAAAACAAGAAGACTCTCTGGGTTACGATGGCTGGGAAGCACGAACCAGAGGATGCAGTTGCACTTATAAGTCCAAATGCAGTACTGGATGATATTAAGGCCTCCAGCATTATACATATTTATACAGATGTGGGAATGAGATAGTATGTAATACCAACAGAAAGATGCAAATCATAACTCTTACCCTCAAGCATCATAGAGGTGATTCAGATCTTTTAGATTTTTACAAGGTCAGTTACAGTTGACACCCCAAAAGTCAGTTCTCCAGGGTTCAAAACTTTCTCGGAGGTTATTGTTGCCATCTGTGCAGTAGCAAGGACAATTGCATTCATAATGCTGATGTGCCATGAACTCTAATAGGTTGGGATTTACATATTTATACAGTTCTTGGAGTRAAATAACATGTATGAGGATTAGAAGAAATAATAATAATAATAATAATAATAATAATAATAATAATAATAATAATAATAATAATTGCAAAGACTCTGGCACAAGCCAGTCAAGGTGGTTCCAGTGGTGATCGGCACACTGGRTGCAGTGCCTAAAGACCTTGGCCTGCACTTAAATACAATTGGCGCTGACAAGATTACCATCTGCCAACTGCAGAAGGCCACTTTACTGGGATCTGCACGCATTATTTGCCGATACATCACACAGTCCTAGACACTTGGGAAGTGTCCGACGTGTGACCCAATACAACAGCCAGCAGAGTGTCTGCTGTGGATTCAGCTTGTTGTGTTTCAAATAATAATAATAATAACAACAATAACAACAATCTATATAAATAAAAATGTAATGTTCGTTTGTGGGATTAACATAACTCAAAAACAACTGGACGAATTGCCACCAAATTTAGCCCAGTTCTCAGTGTCCATGCCAGAGTTTTGTGGAGAGCTGTATTATTATATAATGGTTTGGATATGTTGCCTACCTGGGATGTAGGTGGCCTTAACCACTTTGAACCCTCTTTCAGGCCCAAAAAGAAAAGCTCCATGAAGAGCTGAAGCGAGTTCTTCAGAGGAAGGGCGAAAGCCAACGAAACAACGAAGAGACTGTGGTTGGCGAGGAGGAGGAAGAAGAGCCACCATTACTGTCCTTGAGTCCTCCAAGCGAGATGGAGGCCAAAGTCAGTGCTATGGAGGTGAGTCAGTTGTCATGATCATCCCAGAACCTAACATTCCCAGGCGAAAACCTAAGATCTAGGCATGGCTCCTGGTGATATCATAAGCCTTATGCGTTGAGTACCAGCCACTTCTGCTCATGGCATATCAATCAAACACCACCATCCTCCCCTAATATAGATAGATATATAGATAGATCAAAACACATACATATATACACACACACATACATACATATATACACACATATACATATACACACAGAAAGAACATAACTAAAGGAGATGTTTCCAGATCATGGTGAATGCAAGGATTATTCCTTCTTACCTACTTGTGATACAGGATAAGGAAAATTTGTCCTCATCAATTTGCTTCCAGCCAGAAGGTGAATGTGGAGCAGAGTGGAGGGTGAGTCCTGGTGCCACAATGTGTGCAAAAAAGAGGATGCTAATCCATATACAGTATGTCTTGGAGAGCCTTTTCAATTTGCACCAGAAATGAATCAAGGCTTGCAAATCATGGCAAGCTTTCAACATTTGTGAATATTGCATGAAGCCATTTCCCTTTATCCAAAGCTGAGCCTGCAAAGAAGAATTTGCACCCCTTTCTCCTGCAGGCTTCAAAACCAGAAAATCAATAATTTGTTTTGTACCAGCGAACTTTTATGCTAAAAAACATTAAAAAATTATGCTTTCAACAAAAAAAAATTAAAAAGGCTTTTTTCCTTGCCACAAAACCCTGCATAGAAAGCATTTTTTTTTGCAGAGAAAACAATGCATTTGGAGACAAATACACTGGGAATTCTGTTTATTTGTTTGTGTTTAATTCTGTTTTAATGTTTATAATAATAATAATAATAATAATAATAATAATTATTATTATTATTATTATTATTATTATTTGTGTTGGGAGGAGGGTTTTTTCACCTCCCTTAGTATAAAAAATTGCCAAGTGTGAAATATTATAGGAAAGGCAACACTTTTTGTGGCAGTCTCAATAATCTAAGATGATTTTCCTGCCCTAAATTGGAGAACTTTTTTTCACAGCCCTATTATCATATCTGCGCTGGAATTAATGTTCTATCCTTAAGACTAGCCAGCAGGCAAGAGCCACACAATTAAGTGTCCAAAGGACAACCGGTCTAGTTGTCCTTCTGGTCACAGTTGCTCCAAGCAGGATCAACATCACTAGGAGTTTAGCGCTTCCTTTACAAGCTTCCTTTCACCTCTTCCCCTGTAGAAGACCATTGAGACATCTGAATTGCTGGAGATCATTGTGGAGACGGAAGCAGAAGCCGGGGTCAGCGGGATGAGCGTGGCCGGAGGAGGGCGGGATGGCCTCTTTGTCAAGGATGTGCTGAAAGACTCTCCAGCGGCACGGGCACTGAGCCTCAAGGAAGGTGAGCAGCCACAGAAAGGTCAACCAGGGATGAAAGATCAAGCATGAGGCAAGGTGGGCAGACCTAGACCTGAAGAACAGGGATCCATACTATGACCAACTTCCATCAATTAATACACCCTGCCCTTTTGTCTCCTACCAAGCTTTCTTCTGCTGCTTGGAGATCTAGTTCATGCTTAGGCACATCTACTTTGTAGAGTTAATGCAGTTGGACACCACTTTGACTGCCATAACTCAATGCCATGGAACTGTAGACGTTGTACTTTGGCGAGGTACCAACATTCTTTGGCCAAAGACCTTATCAAACGGCAACTCTCATGATTCCACAGCATTGAGCAAAATTGATTAAAGTGGTTTCAAACTGAATTAGTTCTACACAATACCTGTATTTACTCAAGTCTAAATCACCATTGTATCTAATGCGCACCTCAGTTTTCAAAACCCTGAAACTAAAAAAAAATATTTGCTGACTAATGTAATGCGCAAGGGCAAAAAGTGCATTTTTTGTAATATGGTCCTTATAGTTACTGCCTTCTTATAATTATTATTGTTGTTGTTATTATTTGTACCAGGAGCAACTTGAGAGAATTGGCCCCCTGCAAGGACGTTGTCCAGGGAAGCCTGGATGTTTTTGATGTTTTACCATCCTTTGGGAGGTTTTTCTCGTCCTCCATGGGGAACTGGAGCTGACAGAGGGAGCTCATCCGTACTCTCCCTGAATTTGAACCTCCGACCTGTCGGTCTTCAGTCCTGCCCGCACAAGTGGTTAACCCATTGCACCACTGGGGGCTCCTAATAATAATAATAATACTAATAATAATAATAATACTAATAATAATAATAATAATAATGAGTTGTTGTAGGTTTCTTCAGGCTATATGTCCATGTTCTAGAGGCATTCTCTCCTGATGTTTCGCCTGCATCTATGGCAAGCATCCTCAGAGGTAGTGACTACCTCACTACCTCTGACCTCACTACCTCTGAGGATGCTTGCCATAGATGCAGGCGAAACGTCAGGAGAAAATGCCTCTAGAACATGGACATATAGCCTGAAAAAACCTACAACAACCCAGTGATTCCAGCCATGAAAGCCTTCGACAATACAATAATAATAATAATAATACACTTTATTTATATTCCGCCCTTCTTCCTGAGTTACATACATAGGCAAACGTTCAATGCCTTTACCATCATATACAATGAGACACACAAACACAAACAAAGGCAGAGGCTTCTCCTTTCATTTCCGGCTTCTGGAGATGGTGCTCATCTTTGGCTCTGGGGAGGTGCTTTTCTCCATTTTCAAGCTGAGGAGCCTGTGTTGTCACCTCCTAGTTGTGTGGCCAGCAAGACTTATTGGAGCATCTCTTAGCCTTTTCCCACCAAATCGGTATCTATTTATCTAGTCACATTTGCATGTTTTTGAACTGGTAGGTTGGCAGGAGCTGGAGCTGACAGACGGGAGCTCACCCTGTCTCACGGATTCAAACTGCCAGCCTTCAGGTCAGCAGTTCAGCAGCACAAGGGTTTAACCCATTGCACCACCACGGCCCCTTCTTTAAAAACAACTATGCTGGAACACTGAAGCTTTCAGCAATGGGAAAAAAAACCTTAGAGTGCATCTATGTTGTAGAATGAATCCACTTTAATTGCCTTGGATTCAATGCTATGGAATCCTGGTGGCTGTAGTTTTACAAGCTCTTGAGCTTTCTCTCTTGAAGAGTGTGGATGCCTCATCAAACTACAAATCCCAGGATTACACAGTATTGAATTATGACAACTAAATTACAGGTGACATCCCTCAAAGAGAAGCTGCAAGTACTCCTGACCTCACTACCTCTGAGGATGCTTGCCATAGATGCAGGTGAAAGGTCAGGAGAGAATGCCTCTAGACCATGGCGATATGGCCCGAAAAAACCTACAACAACTCCCGAAACACCTTCCCCTTTTGCTGTGGCTCAGCACTAAGATTACCCTATTAGACAAATCAAATATGCACCCTAATTTTGGCAAGGTAATTTAGTCAAAAAAGGTGAACGTTAGAGTAAATACAGTAGATCGGCTTTTCTCAACCTAGGGGTTGGGACCCCAGGGGGGAGGTTGTGAGGGGGTGTCAGAGGGGTCACCAAAGACCATCAGAAAACACTGTATTTTCTGATAGTCATGGAGGTTCTGTGTGGGAAGTCCGGCCGAAATCTATTGTTGGTGAGGTTCAGAATGCTCTTTGATTGTAGGCAAACTATAAATCCCAGCAACTAAAACTCCCAAATGTCAAGGTCTGTTTCCCCCAAACTCCACCAGTGTTCACATTTGGGCATATTGAGTATTCGTGCCAAATTTGGTCCAGATCCATCATTGTTTGAGTCCACAGTGCTCTCTGGATGTAGGTGAACTACAACTCCCAAACTCAAGGTCAATGCCCACCAAACCCCCTTCAGGATGTTCTGTCGGCCATGGGAGTTCTGTGTGCCAAGTTTAGTTCAATTCCATTGTTGGTGGGCACCCCCTCACTACCCCCCAGGGGTCCCAACCCCCAGGTTGAGAAATGGGTGGAAAATCCATGGGCAATGCCCCTTCTGCCTGAATGGTAGGACCTGCCCTGCCTGAACCCCTTCTCTTCTGCAGGTGACCAGCTCCTTAGTGCCAGAGTATATTTTGACAACATAAAGTACGAAGACGCCTTGCAGATCCTCAAGTGCGCCGAACCATACAAGATCTCCTTCTGCTTGAAACGGACAGTGCCCAGTGCAGATGTCTCCCGCAAGCCCGGCACCTCCACCTTTGAAGTCAGAGGCCCCAAAGCCAAGATAGCCAAGCTGGTAGGTACCAAAAATCCCCGCTAGGCTTTGGGAGCTGGTCATAGTTCCATAGTTTCCAGGGAGTGGAGTTCACTTGGGTGAGAAGAGGTGGGGCTCAGAATTTGTTTGAGGTTTCCGTCATCCAATGCACTGGGTGGCATTGGATGTGAATTAGGGATCACAACATAGGAGACTCCAAAGGCCATTTGGTCCGATGTGCTCTGCAAAAGCAGGAAAATACTCCTGGGGAAAATCAAATTATCTTGGACTTTCCCTTGATGCTCACTTTCTCTTTTCCATGGCATCATTATTGGTTTCTCAGATTAAGTGTGAGTTTCATTTCTGAATGTCTGAAACATGCTGAACAAAAGTGAATATACCATATATACTCAAGTATAAGCTGACCTGAATATAAGCCAAGGCACCTAATTTTAGCACAAAAAAACCTGGGAAAACATATTGACTTGAGTATAAGCCAAGGGTGGGAAATGCAGCAGCTACTGGTAAATTTCAAAATAAAATGAAATATTTTTTTTTAAATAAAAATAGATACCAATAAAATTACATTAATTGAGACATCAGTAGGTTAAATGTTTTTTTAATATTGACATAAAACTGTAATTTAAGATAAGACTGTTCAACTCTGATTAAACAATTTTCCTAACCTTCTTCAATGTAAATGTACTTATGTATCCTTCCAATAATAATAAAGAGAGTAAATAATAAATGTAATAATAATAATAATAATAAGAGTAATATAATAAGTGTAATAATAATAGAGTAAAATAATAAATGTAGCAATAACAATAGTAGAGAAAAATAATAAATGTAATAATTAGAGTAAAATAATGAATGTAATAAAATAATAATAGAGTAAAATAATGTAAATGTAAAATAATAATAATAAATAGAGTAAAATAATAAATGTAATAATAATAATAATAATAATAATAATAATAATAATAATAATAGAGTAAAATAATAAATAAGGCTGAAAAAGGAGAGGGGGGCTTTTCAGCCTAAAAAAAGGGATGAAAAACTTGGTTTATACTTGAGTATATATGGTAAAAAAAGAAAAAACTAGAAGTCATGTTCTTTTTTTGCTGAACCAACCGAAGAAGGTGAAGTCTTTTATCACGGAGAGTTTTTCCTTCTTGGTGAACATTCCTGTGAAGTGCAAAGATTTACATACTTCCCTATGAACCAAAGTTGGTCCAGCAAAAAATCCATTTTCACTCTGGGTGTGTATTCTCCAGAAGGTGAGACACAGCTTTCTGCAGCAAGGACATCCCTGTTTCTTTTGTTTGTCTCCCTGTTAAGATGACTCACGGAGCACTTTGGTTCTTTCTACAGAACATCCAGAGCCTGTCATCTCTGAAGAAGAAGAAGAAAAAGAAGGTGGCGAAGGGTCTGGCAAAGGACCTGCAAGAGACAACAGACCTTCGCGGCAGTGGGGACCTGGCTGGAGGGAAACTGGATATCACACCGGTTGACGTGGAGTTCTCCCTGCCCAAGTTTTCCAAGCTGCGCAAGGCCAAGAGTGCAGGTGAGGTGGCAGCCGCTGAACCAAGCCCAGACGTTTCCCCGTGGCTGTCATCTCTGGAGACTAAACGCCGAAAACTGAAATTCCCCAGGCTGAAGGTTAAGGAAGCAGCTGCTGCCGCTGCAGCAGGTAGAACAAGAGTTGAAGTGCCCGAGAGTCACCTGGAAGTGGGCCTGCCCAAGGTTGCCATCGGGGTGAAAGCTGCCACAAAAAAAGAAGGTGAAGGGAAGGTGTCCAGATTCACAGTCCCATTCACCAAGACCAAGAAGGCCAAAGAAGAGGCAAGGAGCAAAGTGGAAACTGGGTTCCAGGCCCCTCAGGTAGAACTTGATCTCCCCTTGCCTAAAGCTGGGCCTGGTGGAGAGTCACCCAAAACTGGTGCCAAAGCAGAAGGTTTCAAGATCCAAGCACCTCAGATCGGGTTGCCCAAAATGGAGGTGGTGCTGCCCAAAGTAACTACTGTAGGGATGGAAGTGCCAGAAGGTGGTCTCCAAACAGGGCTGAAGCTCCCCGCAGCAGAAGTGGCAGCTCCTAAGGTGGATGTCGACCTCAGCTTCCCCAGACTGGAGGGCACATCTCCCCCAGAGGTTGTCCCCAAAGGAGAAGGCTTCCGAATCAAAGTCCCCAAGTTTGGCATCCCTGCGGAAGATGTCAAGCTGAAAGTGCCTTCAGCCAAAGTCCCAGCCGTGGAAGTCTCCCTGGAAAAAGACAAGGTGAGATCCAAAGATTTGGAGGAAAAACTGACAGCAGGAGTGACAATGCCATCTTTGGATGTGGAGGCTCCATCCGTGGAGCTAGAGCTCCCCCTTCCCAGAGGGAAAGCTGAAGTGGAAGCTCGCAAGCTCAGAGTTGAAGCCCCAGATATCTCTGTCAAGGTCCCCTCCATCGGCCTTGGCAAGTTGGTCTCCAAAGCCCAGGAAGAAGGGGAAAGCAGATTGCCTCAAGTGGAAGTCAGTCTTGGAAAACCAGAGAGCCCCAAAATAAAACCCAAAGGCCCTAAGATCCAAATTCCTGGGTTTGGGATTTCCTTGACAGAACGCAAGTCAGATAGCAAAGAGGCTGTTTCCAAAGGGGCAGCAGAGAGTAAGGTGGCATTTCCAGGGCTGAAGATGCCCTCCCTTGACATCTCAGTCCCCAAAGTCAGCGACGTGCAACTTCCAAAGGCCACGGGAGAGTTGGCTGCCTCCTTCGATCGGGCAAAGTCTCGGGAGGCTGCCGAAGAGCCTGGATTCAGGTTCCAGGTACCCCAAGTGTCACTCCCCAAATTTGACCTGCCTGCCAAGGTGCCACCTTCCCCACCCCTCCTAACTCATGCCAAATTCCCAAAGCCAGAAGGTGATGTGAGCGTGAAAGTCAGTGTCCCAAAGGTGGATCTTGTTTTACCTGATGTTCAGCTCCCCAAATCACCATGTCAAAAATCAGAATTGGACATCTCAGTGGAGAAGCCCAAGGTAGAAATGGCTGTCCCCTCAGCCAGGCTGAGCTTCCCTTCTGGTGCCGTGCCGGCACTGGAAATTGGCCTGCCCAAAGTTGAGGTTGGCCTGGATTTGCCAAAGGTGGAAAGAGAGCTTGGGGTCTCTGAGCCACACAGAGATCACGAGATGAAGCTTCCGTTCCCCAGCTTCGGGGCTGTGAGCAAAGACCTGGGGGTGGAGCTCAGTGTCCCCACATGCCGACCAGATCAGCTGGAACCAAGCGTGAGGACCTTTGAAGGGCCAGATGTCAGCGGAATGGTCGCCAGAATTCCTAAAGTGGATCTTGCTTTGGGGAAGGAGTTGCCAACAGCTGAAGGAGAACGAAGGCTTGAAATTGGCTTGGACATGAAGGAAAAAATATTGCCAAAGATCAGCTTGGCTGCGGGGACCAAAACAAAGCTGCCATCTGTTGAGATTCCGACTGTCACTATCCCAGATGTGACCATCGAGAGCAGCAAAGTCCTGGAGGCTGAAGCAAAACAGAAGTCGCCCAGGTTTACCCTCCCTAAATTCAGCATTTCTGGCCCCAAGGTCCAGAAGGTGAGCCCAGAGGCAAAGTTGAAAATGCCAAAATTTGGAATCTCGTTCCCCAAGTCCAAATGGGGAACAGAGGTGGAAAGTCCCAAATTAGCTCTCAGTGTTGAAGGAAAGGCTCCCAAAGAGAAGTCTGGTGCCATCTCTGAGCCTCAGGTGGGTCTAGATTCCTCTGAAAGCAGGATGAAATTGCCTACCATGGAAGTTGAGATGCCCAGCGTGGCTGTGGACATCAGCCTTCCCTCGGGGAAGACAGAAGAGTGGCCTGGGGAAGAAGCTGCAGGCCTCTCCCCTGAAGTCGGCATAGACCTCCCAGATGTCAAGCTGAAAATGCCCAAATTACTTTTGCCCAAATTTGGGGGCAAAGGCAAGGAGGGGGAGCTGGAGCTCAAGAGCCGGGAGGCAAAGCTTCCAGAGAAAGAGGCCAAAGCCAAAATGCCCAAATTCAAGATGCCATCTTTTGGCATGATGCGCAGAGATGTGGAGATCTCAGGCCTAGAAGCAGAAGCAAAAATCAAGAAAGATTCCAAAAGTCTCAAGGAGAAAGGTCCATCTGTGAAGATGCCTTCTCTGAAAATGCCAACACTGCAGCTGTCCTCTCCTAAGCTGGAAACTGAGAAAGGGAAGCTGCAGATCCAGGCTCCAGAAGTGGGAGTGAAAGTCCCCCAGGTTGAGCTTCCCAAGATTAGCTCCAAAGATGGCAAAGCAGAGGGAGGGCTGCTTATGGGGTCTGACAGTCCCACCTTCAAGGTTAAGATGCCATCCCTGGAGATTGCTGTGCCCAGCCCCAGAGTGGAAGGGGAGCTGGAGAAGCCCGTGGTGGACGTCTCAGAGGCCGACATCAGAGGATATGAGGGAGAACTCAAGATCCCCAGTGTGCTTTCCATCGGCATTTCGGCCCCCAAAGTTGAGCTGGACATTAGTCTGCCCACCGCTGGCCCAGACGAGTCCATCACTTATGGCACTACAAGTGCAGATGCCAAGATCAAGTTGCCAAAGGTGGAGCTGCCCAAATTTGGTCAGGCTGAGGATAGTGGGGTGCTGGAAGCAGGAGTACAGCTGCTGGGACACAAGTTCAGCCTTGGGCGGGAAGGAGAGAAAGAGGCAGAAGGATCAGGAGAAGGCTATATTCTGGGTTCCAAGGTACGGATGCCCAGAGTAGACATCTCCTTGCCCAAAGCCCGGCTTTCTGATGCAGAGCTACCACTGACTGAGGGAGAGGGGATGGTTGAAGGAGCTGAGGGTAAATTCAGGATGCCTTCTGTTGGGCTGCCAAAGTTCTCCACCCCTAAAATGAAGGCTCCTGAGGTAGAGCTTGACATGAGTTTGGAAGCAGCAGGGAAGATGCCTAGGGTCAAAGTGAGTGGTCCTGCCATTAAATTGCCCAAATTTGGGGGTTCCATTTCTGATGGAGAAGGGGAGCCTGAAGTGGATTTGCCCAGGGTCCCACAGCTGGAGCTGAAAGCTCCCAAACTCCGAGGCAGTGCCGAGATGCTGAGCCTGGAAAGTGGGACGAAAGAAGCCAAGATCAAGATGCCCTCGCTCCCTATTGGCTTTGGTCTAGGCAAGGCAGAAGCTGAAACTGGGCTGGGAGTTGATGATGGCAAGTTCAAGTTGAAATTCCCATCCTTGAGCATCTCCAAGGCAGGCCCCGAATCAGGCACAGATACCCAGCCCCTCTGCCCTCCTGCTGAAGGGACAGACTTCTCCTTCAAAATGCCCCAGATTGCTCTGCCACATGTGGGGTTCTCCGTGGACTCCGAAGGGAGGAAGGAAGTGAAGGGAGAATCAGGGAAACTAACAGGTATGACTGATCTGGAAGTGGATGTGGGAGGGTTTGAAGGCAGGCTGAAAATGCCCAAGATCAAAATGCCGGCATTTGGGACACCAGGTGCCAAGGGAGACACAGATGTGGCAAGAGCTTCTCCTCCAAGACATCGACGGGACTCAGGAGAAGGAGATCTGGACGAGAAGAAAGCAGCCTTCAAGGTTCCCGGCTTGGAGATTTCAGCCCCAAGCCTCAAAACCCACGCTGAATATGATGTTGAGGAGACCCAGCTCAGATATGGTGGCTCTCAGGAACTGGAAGGGGCCAGTAAAAGAGGTCGCGTTGGCAGCGATGGTCGGAAGAGCCCAGTTGGAAAAGGAGGGGCAGCCAGTGCAGATGCAGGGAAGAAGTATAAAGTGAAGCTTCCCAAATTTGGAATTTCCTTGCCCAAAGCAGGATTGGAAACTGAGGAAAGCGCCCATGGGCAGGAATCAGAGACCAAAGCCAAGAAACACATGTTTGCCTTGGGAAGGTCCAAGGCAAAGGGCTCCGAGGGTTCCCCCAGCCTCCTTGAGAGAGAGGAGGAAGGGGATGGCAAGGGTATGATGGCCAAACTCAAGCTCAAGCCCACTTTTGGATTGTCACTCTCCAAGCCCAAAATGGGGGTGGATGTCAATGGAGACCTGGAGGAGGCTTCCTCCAAGCTCAAGGTGCCCAAGCTGGGTTTCTCCACAACAGAAGAGAGCTCCCAGCTCAATGGGGAACAAGGTGAAGCCTCGCTGCAGGACGGATCTCAAGAGAGCAAGGGGAAGATGGGCAAAATCCGGCTGCCTCAAGTGGAACTGTCATCCCCTTCCAAGGTGGCTGAAACTGACCACGAGTTGAACCTCAAGCTGGTGAGGACAGAAGACACCAAAGAAAATACCCATGGGGGAGGCACCTTTTCAGCCTTGAAGTTCAAGTCGCCCAAGATCACCTTCTCGGGCTTCAAGAAACGGAATGGGGAGATGGCGCCAGGAGCCGTGGTGTCTTCCGCTGCCAGAACAGAGATGGCTTCATTGGAAACAGGCGAGGCAGGGTCCAAGGGGGAGAGGTCTCCCAAGTTCAGATTCCCTAAGGTGGCGCTGAGCCCCAGGTCTCATGGGGTTCTGGAGATCACCCCTGAGCACCCAGAGGACGAAGGGGGATTGAAAATCAGGCTGCCCGATGTGGGTTTCTCTGAGGAGCCGGGCTTGGAGGCCAGGTTGGGACCAGCGAAGGTTGTGACCAAATCAGAGGGAGGAGTAGCATCTTCAGTGTGAGGGGCAAGTGTTGGAGTTAGCCTGGCAGAGCCATGCCCACCTCTCTGTCCTCTGTATAATGTCTAGCACTAACACAAGTGAGACAGGCTTGGCACCAGCCAGGAGTAGATGAAGGAAGACGAGAGAAAATCATCTGGGCATGCTTCTGTTGCATGTGTCTCTCCCAGAACGTTGCCTTTAACATCCCCTCTCTGGAGGCCACTGCAGCTCCATACTTAGAAATTGGTTTTCTCTTTCTTTCTATCTCTATGGAAAATCAGTGTGAATAAATTCAAGTCCCGTCTTTTCCTGTCCTATTGTCAAGGGCTTGCTTCACACCAACCTCCAAACAAACTTGTTTCCTCCCTCAACTGTGCTTCTGTTGTCCTCCTTGTGAGTTTTGGGACCAGGTTTGAAAAACGTCCATTTCCCTACCTTTGCCTTTGGAAACAGGTCATTTGGGGAAGACTTGGTTATATGTTACAGAACTAACTTAAGAATGGGGGGGGGGGGTTTGTGAGCAGAGTGAATGAGGTGTTTAGAAATGAGGAAGTGTGGTCAATAACATGTCCTTCCTTAGAAAATTATAGAATGATGGAGTTAATGAGAATCCCAGGGGTCATCTAGTCTAACCCCTTGCCAGTACAGGATCTAAAATAGATAAGTTGTTGGGGTGGAGGTAAGACCCAGTCTTAGTTGGATGACAGAAGACAATTCAAGGGCGTTTTGAGCGAGGACAAGGCTCCTAACTGACTGGGTAATGCTGTATCCTGCTAAGTCCTATCGTCAGTTGATCCGGAAGACCTAGAACTCTTGGTTTTTCCTGTGAGGTTGTTGCTATGCCTTGTTTTTAGGGTGATTCAGAGGTTAAGCTGGCAGTGCCAAAGGTTGCTTGGGTGCAAAATCAGAGCAGTTCTTCTGCACCAAGAATATCTGTCATCTCCATCCTCCCTTCCATAGGTCATTCTCTCCCTTCCCAAACAAAGTCCCTTTGCTGCTCCAACCCTCTCAGCTCTCTTCCTCCTTCCTTAATGACACAATGAAACCCCATAGACTATGAGCGTCATGCACTTTGTGCCTGTATCTTCTCCCCATTTAGGGTTACCCTAGTGGAAACTGGAAATTTCAGTTGTTGCTTGTCATAGCAATGAGGTCCCAAGTAACATCTGCTGAAATTCTCTCTTTGGCACAACCTTTTTAGCTTTTGTCTCTTTCAAGGTTATGCCAAAGCAACCCTGGCTTTTTTTCATGTCAGGAGTGACTTGAGCAACTGCAAGTCACTTCTGGTGTAAGAGAATTGGCCGTCTGCAAGGACATTGCCCAGGGGGTGCCTAGATGTTTGCTGTTTTACCATCCTTGTGGGAGGCTTCTTTCATGTTCCCGCATGGGAAGCTGGAGTTTGACAGAGCAAGCTCAACCTTCTCTTCCCAGATTTGAAACGCTGACCTATCGGTCAGCAATCCTGCTGACACACGGTGGCCACTGTGTCAACCTGGCTAAAAAGAAGAGATTGACATAACTCACATAACCGTTGATGGAGTTTTTACTTCCTGATTCAGGAATAAACCAACTTTGGGTAGTTTTCAAAGAAGTTGCTCTGTTATTTTAATGCAACTTTTAAAAATATGCTTTATTCCTGAGGCTTTCCTATCACTCTGTACTGCATCCAAAGAAGTGGGTTTATATCCACAACAGCTCATGCTAACACAAAAACCAGACAGTCTTAAAAGTGCTGCAACATTCCTTTTTTTTTTGTTCCTGTTTCCTTTTTTATGGAATTTTGGGGGAAACGCAGAGACATTTCTTTGGGATTATTTTTTTTTCCGTGTCAGGAACGAGTTCAGAAACTGCAAGTTTCTTCTAGTGTGAGAGAATTGACCGTCTGCAAGGACGTTCCCCAGAGGACGCCCGGATGGTTTGATGTTTTATCATCCTTGTGGGAGGCTTCTCTCATGTCTCCGCAATAGGGAGCTGGAGCTGACAGAGGGAGCTCATCTGCACTCTCCCCGGATTCGAATCTGTGACTTGTCGGTCTTCAGTCCTGCTGGCACAAGGGTTTAACCCATTGTGCCACTGGAGGCTCTATTTCTTTGGGATGGGAGAGAGGGATGAGGGTGGAGATAAGAGATTTTCAAGATCCTTTATGTGCTCCCACCAAAACTAGACAACACCTTTGCTGTGCCAGGCCTTCAAGGTGGTGTTTCTCATCAGCAGCCCCAGGTGTTCATAATTTAGGCTAAAATATTTTACTGGTTTGGAGAGTACGGGGGACCCATTGCATTTGCTTTTCAAGAGAGCCGTGTGAAATGCAGTGGTCACATTAAGGTGTTTACATTTAGGGCAGAAAGCAGTGTAAAGGGATTCGGGAGTGACGTAGGATCTCCATTCCTTCAAGTGAGTAAGTCAGGGAGCGAGGGACAGAAATATTGTCTTGTCACTCTGAGATGTACAGAATTTTTTTTTTTTGTTCTAATTGTTAACTACTTCGGCCTGCTGTGATGGGCTTTCCTATAATTTGCCGCTAAAAGACAAATCCCAATAACTGCCTCTTTGCCAGATTGTCTGTTGAATTAATTATCTTTTAAGTAAAGAAAGATGTTACACTGTATCTCAGATACACTGTACTACTGCTGCTTTTGTTTTGTTTTGTTTTCTATTCTGGGTTTGAATAAAAAATTAATATGTGGACTGACGCTGCTGCTGCGTGTATCGTTCTTGCCCGTTGTGCTGGCAATGCACAAGACCAAACCAATCCTGAACTCTCACTAGAACAGGGACCACTTTGACCAGGGACCACTTGACCAGGGACCCCTTTGACCAGAGACCACTTTGACCAGGGACCAATTTGACCAGAAACCACTTTGCCCAGGGACCACTTTGACCAGGGACTGATTTGACCAGGGACCACTTTGCCCAGAGACCACTTGAACAGGGACCACTTTGACCAGGGACCACTTGAACAGGGACCACTTTGACCAGAGACCACTTTGACCAGGGACTACTTGACCAGGGACCACTTTGACCAGAGACCACTTTCATCAGGGACCACTTTGACCAGAGACCACTTGACCAGGGACCACTTTGACCAGAGACCATTCAACCAGGGACCACTTGACCAGGGACCACTTTGACCAGGGACCACTTGACCAGGGACCACTTTGACCAGGGACCACTCGACCAGAGACCACTTGACCAGGGACCACTTGACCAGGGACCACTTTGACCAGGGACCACTTGACCAGGGACCACTTTGACCAGGGACCACTCGACCAGAGACCACTTGACCAGGGACCACTTGACCAGGGACCACTCAACCAGAGACCACTTGACCAGGGACCACTTTTGACCAGGGACCACTTTGTCCAGGGACCACTTGACCAGAGACCACTTTGAGCAGGGACCACTCTTCAACATTAGTACCAAAAGGGTTATGAATTAGTTTTTTGTCAACTTTAGATTCGGTTTGTTTATTTGGAGTGCTGATTCAGATAATTGCATTGGATAGACCACATCCACTCTAGTTTCTGGTACAGAACATATGCCATCCAGTAGTCGCCATCTGCTTGCCCACAGAAAATCATATTTAATAATCTAGAGCTGATGTGGTAGTAATAATCTTTTGTGGGTAGTCAGCCTCTCTTCTCCCAACATTCCTTTTGCCTTGACACTATAAGAAAGTTTTGCGAAACCAGTCACTGTGGTTTTGAGGCAACAATGTAGTAATGGTGAGTCTGCTGACCATATTTTTGTTCTAGTGATCCACAGACCACAGGTTGGGACCACTACACTAGAAGCTGCAATGACAAACTGAGGCACTCGCACTTTGCACACATCATGAGATGACATAATTTATTAGATGGTATTATAATGCCCCATAAAATGGGAAACAGTTGGTCAGTCTGTGGAAAATGCCTAGAGTTTGCCACACCTAAGCAAGAAGTCCTTAAGATCTCTCATTCATAAACATAAGTCATGGACAACAGTCATAGTGTTTGAAGGGATCACAAGGGTCATTCTAGTTCAACCCTCCGGCACGTAGTGAGAGCACTCTTGAAAAATGCCTATCCAACCTCTATTTATAGACCTTTAAAGAAAGACAATCCACCTCTCTGCAAGGCAATCTCTTTCACTATCAAACAGCTCCTACTCTCAATAAGTTCTACCTAGTGTTTACATGGAATCTCTTCCCATTTTAACCCATTGGTTTGTGTTCTAGCAGCAAAACACAAGCTTGTTCTGTACCTCCACATAACATTCTTTGAGATATTCAGAAGTCAATGTTATCAAGGTACATGGTTAAATTGGGAGCCATTTGTCCCATCTCCTCTGCATAGAGGTAAGGAAGCTAAACGCTATATTCAGAAGAGGGAAGGTTGCAAGGTGAATGAAAAGGGGGGTCATGAGAAGACAACCTTGTGATGGAGGGTGAAACACCTAGGCTCACACTTAGGTTCAGTGCCTCCTCTCTTGGAGCCCTCTGGTAGCTATAGATTTCATCTCCATCTCCAAAATGCTGCATATTCCCAGTGCCTCCAAGGGCATTTAGATAACCCTCATCAACCCATTATAGCCTAAGAAAATGTTTGAAGGAGCAACATGTTACCTGTCAGGTGCAAATCCCATCCACTCTAGCCAATAATTTGGAATGCTAGGAATTACAGTCCAGCAACATCTGGAAGACTGTGTTGTTCCCGCTCTTAGTGCAAGATAAGGAAAGTGAAAATATCCAGAGTATGATGCCAGTTCACCTTGCTTTACATAGGTCCTGGGTAACCTATCAAAGGATTTTCTTGGCAAGACGTTTTCGAAGGTTGTCTGCCCTTGCATTCCAGTAAGGCTGAGACAGTGTAATCTGCCTAAGATCACCCAATTAATTTCCCATGCTAAACGGTTCCTATTCCAATAGTCAATTCACTATCCCACACCAGCCTTTTTTCTCTGAGGACTATCAAATCAAGGCTACACAACCATCTACTGAAGGTATATTCTAGACATGGGGAGAGGAAAGAGAAAACCCATGTAGTAAAGGCCCACCTTCTTTTGAAAACCAAATAGTCTTCTCATGGCCCATTCATTATTGCTCCAAAGCTCCTGAGAGAAAGGACTGATGTTCAGAAGTCACCAGATTTGGGAAATATAGGCAAGAGTCATTTCCTGGTGGAAACAAGGGTGCTCAGTTCAGTCTTTAGCCCAGCTTAAGATAGGAAGCTGATAATCTGAGTGGGCAACTGGCCTCCATAACAGAACCTTTTTGACTTGGCAACTTTGGAACTGAGCTGACTGTTGCATCACCCATTGTTCCAGAGAAGGGCTGGGGTTCTCTTGAGTCAAAGGCGGCTGAACCTCTCTTTGCAAGAAAGCCAGTTTTGCACCCGTGTTTCTGAGCTTGGGCAAGCCCAGAACGATGGTCACAATCGAGTCGGAATCAGACTTCTATGACGTGTTTGAGATCCTGGGGAAGGGGACGTTTGGGGAAGTGGTGAAAAGCTGGAAACGGAGCACGGGGGAGATGGTCGCCATCAAGATCCTGAGAAATGACTCCTACCGGAGCAGAATCATCAAGAACGAGCTGAAGCTACTACAGACGATGGCTGAGGTGGACTCAGAGCAGTCCCACATTGTCCAGTTCCACGAATTCTTCCACGACGAGCTCAAGTTCTACCTGGTCTTTGAGCTGTTGGAGCAAAACCTCTTTGACTTCCAGAAAGAGCACAATTTTTCCCCTTTGCCAGTCCGACACATTCGGACGGTGACCACACAGGTGCTGAGAGCCTTAGCCAAGCTAAAAGAGCTCTCCATAATCCATGCAGACCTGAAGCCGGAGAACATCATGTTGGTCGACCAGGTGAGGTATCCTTTCCGAATCAAGGTGATTGACTTTGGATCTGCCAGCATCTTCAACGAGGTGCGCTATGTCAAAGAGCCGTACATCCAGTCCCGGTTCTACCGGGCGCCAGAGATACTGTTAGGGCTACCGTTCTGTGAGAAAGTGGACATGTGGTCCTTGGGGTGCGTGATGGCAGAGCTGCACCTTGGCTGGCCTCTCTACCCCGGGAACAATGAATACGACCAAATACGGTACATCTGTGAGACTCAAGGGATGCCCAGGACCACCCTTCTCAACGCTGCCAGGAAAGCCCACCTCTTTTTCAAAAGAAGCCAGCATCCCGAGGTGGTGAATTCCTGGCAGCTGAAGACCCCAGCAGAATACCTGGCGGACACCAAGGTGAAATCTGTGGAACGGAGGAAGTATGTGCTGAAGTCCCTGGACCAGATGGAGACGGTGAATGTCCACAAGATGATCTACCCAGACAGCGAGGCCTTGGCCGAGTACTTTGACCTCCGGAGCATGGTGGAGCTCATTAAGAGAATGTTGACCTGGGATTCCCATGAGCGTATCACCCCTAGCGCAGCCCTGAAGCACCCCTACATTTCCACACAGCCACTCAAGCAGAATTATGATCTCACTCAGTATTATCAGTTCTGCATGAGGAGCCTCCATGAGTCACTCCCCAACCATGGAAAAGCGGTGGAGGAGGAAACTCAGGTCTATAGCCCTATGGAAGAGGAGCACTTCTACGCTTCCCAGCAGTCCTTCAAGGAGGACAATGCTCATGGCATCCAAAGGACCACCAGCCAATTGGATGATCTGAGCATCGCTGAAGCCAGCCGGGAGGTGCCCCTGAAAGTATGGGGCGAAGGACCCAGTGGAGGTCTCTACGAGCCTCTCTCTGGCCCCACAGAGGCTGCCTCTGGCCGGCGCAAGACCCTCCACCAAAACTTTCGTTTGTGCCATGAGCAGCCAACCCAGCAAGAGCCCATCATGCCCTACTACAGGAACCGTCATGGGAGTCCCAAGCATCGCAAGGCATCCCACCATGCCAAGTTGGACCCCACTTTTGAAAATCTCATCCTCCTGGGACAATATTCACCGGAAGACACCCTCAGCTGGGAGAAGGAGAGCAACGCTAGCACTAACTCCCTGCCCGAGTCCAATGGAAAGGAAGATCCCAACTACCCCAAAGGTCTGATGTTGTCACCCAAAACTCAGGTAGCGGTCATTGAATTCCTTCAGTCAAAGGGGGCATGAAATCGTTCCCTTTAGAAGAGGACAGTCTCAGAGAAGTCTTCCAGTACAGAAGCAGCATGGCAACACTTTAGACCAGGCATGGGCAAATTTTGGCCCTCCAGGCATTTTGGACTTCAACTCCCACAATTCCTAACAGCCAGTAGGCTGTTAGGAATTGTGGGAGTTGAAATCCAAAACACCTGGAGGGCTGTTAGGAATTGTGGGAGCTGATGTCCAAAACACCTGGAAGGCTGTTAGGGAGTTGAAGACCAAAACATCTACCGACTGTTAGGGATTGTGGACGTTGAAGTCCAAAACACTTGGAGGGCCAAAGTTTGCCCTTGCCTGCTTTAGACAATGGGCTTAGTTCTTGTGACAGTTCAAAAAGGGTGTCTTCACGTGAGTTGTGAGTGTAGCTACTCCTTCCTGGAGACTTTTAAAAAACAAAACAAAACCCAACTTGATATAGGAGGTCGTATGTGTGATCCTGATACTTTAATCATTGCTTGCTGATGTGATTGGCTGACCGATCAAATTACTGATGTGCTGCCTTTCTATGCTGCTTTGCTCTCAGAGTAGGGCCCAGGACAGCTTCTAAACAATCAAAATATTGCAATTAGAAAACAATTAAAAGCAAATAAAATAAAATAAAAAACCTCTCCATGAGTCTGGAAGTCCTCCAGAACGATTCTACCGTCAACATCCACTGGACTCTGAGCATAAAGCTTTATTAGAGGACCTAAAGATTCCTAAAGAGAACATTATAAACAAATCAACGAATAATCATACTCACAAAAAGTCAATACCACAATTATGGAGGGCCAATTTTAGTGTAAAAATATTTTTAGAATAAAACAGTTTGGGGGGTAAAATTAAAGCCCACTCTCCTACCCATACTTCCCTCACTTGCTTCATTTCTTTGCATTCATGGGGAGAGGCTGTAGCAAAGTTTTCTGAGTCTGACACCTTTTCTTTCATGTCAGGAGCGACTTGAGAAACTCCAAGTCGCTTCGGGTGTGAGAGAATTGGCCGTCTGCAAGGACGTTGCCCAGGGGACACCCGGATGTTTTACCATCCTTGTGGGAGAACGTTGCCCAGGGGACACCCAGACATTTTGATGTTTTACCATCCTTGTGGGAGGCTTCTCTCATGTCCCTGCATAGGGAGCTGGAGCTGACAGACGGGAGCTCATCCATGCTCTCCCTGGATTCGAATCTCCAACCTGTCTTCAGTCCTGCTGGCACAAGGGTTTAACCCATTGCATCACCTTAGTCTGGCTCCTTAGTCTGACACCCAATCTATCGCAAATGCCTTATGTTGCCCAATAGCTGAGCCAATCCAAACGTTAAGGTTAGATGTCAAAGAGTTGGGAGAGACCTCTAATCCACTGCTTCTGAAACAAATGGGGGTCAGTGTTGGGTTTCTGAAAAAACTGGCAACCATAAAAGTTTTCTGAACATCGTGACTGTTTTAGACATTTATACATACCAATTGTGCAATGTTTACATTGGACTCTGCACAAGATGCTTCAACTGACCTTCACAAAAAAAGGGAAATCAGCCTGTTCAATAAGCCTTTGCAAATGCCAATTGATTTTTTCATACTTATCATATACCTATATATAGGTTCCATAGTAGTGTAGCAGATTAAACTGCTGAGCTGCTGAACTTGCTGACCGAAAGGCTGGCGGTTCGAAAGGCTGGAGTGGGGTGAGCTTCTGCTGTTAGGCCTAGCTTCTGTCAATTTAGCAGTTTGAAAACATGCAAATGTGAGATCAATAGGTACCGCTTCTGCGGGAAGGTAACGACGTTCCATGCAGTCATGCTGGCCACATGACCTTGGAGGTGTCTACGGACAATGCCAGCTCTTCAGCTTAGAAATAGAAATGAGCACCAGAGTCCCAGAGTCAGACACAATAAGATTTTGTGTCAAGGGAAAACCATTACTTTACCTTTAATATAATATACTGTAATATAATATAATATAATATAATATAATATAATATAATATAATATAATATAATATAATATAATATAATATAATATAATACAAATAATATATTATATAATATAAATGCCTCCTACAAAATGTCAATTTGGAGACCTCAGGAGGGCATGGATGGAAGATCAAAACCTGGCCATGGCACACAAGGACAACCATGTTGAAATAAACAACAGCCCCAATCTGGCAGCCAGCCACTCGTTTCAAAGGTTTCCCATTCTGTTTCTTTAAGGAACATAGACTGGGAAGAACCGATGCAAAGCAGAGACATTTCTCCCATTCCGCATAATGGGCCCCGATTCCCCCAAGACCACCAACAATGGCACTGTGTATTGTAGCCAAAGTTTTAATCCAACCAAGCCACCGGCATAGCCATTCCATACAGTCAAGCCGGCCACATGACCTTGGAGGCATCTACAGACAACACCGGCTCTTCGGCTTAGAAATGGAGATGAGCACCACCTCCCAGAGTTGGACATGACTAGACTTAATGTCAGGGGAAACTTTTACCTTTACCTATACATATATATACCCAGCGTCATATGAAAAAGTTTCAGATGGAAAGGGTTCACAAGTGGAAAATGTTGAAGAAGTCCCATGTGTTAGTCAACCCAAACGTGTTTGGATACCATAATAGAGTTGGAAGACACTCATGGGTCATCTTGCTCAGTGCAGGATCTCCAGCTAAAGCATGCATAGGCAAACTTTGGCCCTCCAGGTGTTTTGGACTTCAACTCCCACAATTCCTAACAGCCAGTAGGCTGGGTTGTCGTAGGTTTTTTCGGGCTATATGGCCATGGTCTAGAGGCATTCTCTTCTGACGTTTTGCCTGCATCTATGGAAAGCATCCTCAGAGGTAGTGAAGTCTGTTGGAACTAGGAAAAAGGTTTGGGACAAAGAACTCTTGTCTGCTGGATCTAGGTGTGAATGTGTGGGACAAAGAACTCTTGTCTGCTGGATCTAGGTGTGAATGTTTCAACTGACCACCTTGATTAGCATTTGATGGCCTGGCAGTGCCTGGGGCAATCTTTTTTTTAGAGGTGATTAGATGTCCCAGGTTGTTTCCTCTCTGTTTTTTTGCCAGTAGGCTGTTAGGAATGTAGGAATTGAAGTCCAAAATACCTGGAGGGCCAAAGTTTGTCCAGGCCTGATAACGCATTCCAGCAGGTTGTTGTCTAGCATTTTATGGAAGACGTTTGGAGAAGGAGACCCCATGAACTGTTGGAAATAGCAACCTTCCAAGGCTCCACTAACTGTAAATGTGTATAGTTGTTAACCTATATTGTATATACATTTTGGTTTGTCAATTTGACTGTACCTCTTTGGTGTGGGAGGGGCTTCAGACACAGGACTCTATTTTGTATTCAGTTTGCATCAGACCTCAATGGAGGTGGGTGCATGTATGTTGCTGTTTGGACTTTAGTAGAGAAGTATGCTTTTAGACCTCAATGGAAATGGATGCGGTTTGTTTCGTTTCAGACTTCAGTGAGTACGGTTATACAGTTTGGACTATATATGGTTAAAGACTATATAGTACTGAATATATACAAGAAGTTTGTTAGTAAACCTGAGATGTTATTTTTCAAAGAAGACCTTGTTTTTTTATCTCTGAGTATATACTTTAAGAGGTTTAAAGGAACTGTATATCTTTTGGACAACTGCAACTGCAAATTCAACTTCAAAGACACAACTATCCTCTGCTAACCAAACATATTTTTGTAGTGGCATGTCTTTATCCATGGCAGTTCAAATACATGGTTCTTCAGTTTAACAGCTGAGTTACCTATATACCATTGCATGAATGCTTATTAATTTATTTACTTACATTATTTATTAGGTACTAGCTTGGGGACCGGCACTGCCCGGGTTATTTGAGAAAGGAATTGTGTATCAAGGTTGGTCTTTATCAGTTATTTATATGGCTTGCAGTGGTCTCAGGAAGTTAGTGAAGGTACTGCGAGTCCCATCATCTGTGGTCCATCCTCCTCCAAACTGCACCAGGATGGAGAGTGGGTCATGGGGGCTCTGTGTGCCAAGTTTGGTCTTGATCAGTCATTAGATGAGGGTTGCAGCAGTCTTGGGAAGTGAGTGGAGGTACTTGAAGTCCCATCATCCATAGTCTGTTCTCCCCCAAACCGCACCAGAATGTTGAGTTGGCCATTGGGCTCTCTGTGCCAAGTTTGGCCTTTATTGGCATTTGGATGAGTGTCGCTGTGGTTTCAGGAAGTGAGTGAAGGTACTGCAAGTCCCATCATCCATTGTCCATCGTCCGTCCATGGTTCTAAATGGTTCTAAAGTAATTACGAAACTAAAGTTCTGGTGGTGAAAACTAGGCTGCACTGGTGCTTTGCTTCTACAGTGTTGCTAAAGTTCTGGTGGTGAAAATTTCAGAACTCTTAACAAAACTTTCAAAATTTCATTATTGGCAATTTTTGTGAACAGAACAAATTAGGAACTGCCATTTATAACAAAATTTTGGAAGTTTTGTTAGAGTTATGAAATTTTCACCATCAGAACTTTTGCAACACTGTAGAAGCAAAGCACCAGCGCCGCCTAATTTTCACCACCAGAACTTTAGTTTTCCAAGTACTTTAGAACCATGGATTGCAGTGGGACTTAGAGCAGTGGTTCTCAACCTGTGGGTCCCCAGATGTTTTGGCCTTCAACTCCCAGAAATCCTAACAGCTGGTAAACTGGATGGGATTTCTGGGAGTTGTAGTCCAAAACACCTGGGTACCCACAGGTCAAGAACCACTGCCATAGACACACAACATATATAGACAGACACACAGAGGCTATTTAACATTCCAGCTTTCAAGAGGGCATTCTGGCCACCAGGGGAGCTGTTGCTTCAACGTCCATTTGTGACACCAATGGAGTACTTCCTCATTCTTTGCACATTTGCTGGAGATTTTTTATGGCATCGTAAATTAGTTAAATTAGCCTCCCCGCATAAGCGGTACTTACATTTTCTACTTGACAGATACAACTGTCTTTTGGACTGCAAAGGTTGACAGCAAGCTACACAAATTGGTCGGAAGCTCACTCCGACCCAGGCTGGCTTCGAACTCATGACCTTTTGGTCAGTAGTGATCTTGTGGTTTTCAAAAGGTGGTCTCTATGCTCATTTGCCAAACGGATGTAACATCATTTTAACCTTTTCAATAAGGTTATGGTGCACTTATTTCCAATAGGTTATGGAATTTGCAATATGAACTTTTCCTCTTTCTCTCTGGCAGAGAGGCCCTGCTGAAGCGTTCGAGCCCGCCGCCTCTGCTATGCAGGTCTCTGGTCCCACCACTTGGCTGCCGGAGGAGGACTGGTTGTCAGACCGGGGGGCCGCCCCGCTCAAGGCCGTGCTGCATGCCCCGCGGAACCGGCACCACCAGCTGCAGCCCCCTTACCTCCAACACATCACCAGCCACCACTGACCCACCCGCAGCGGGGCATCTTTGCCCAGGCAGGACAAGGGCAGAGGCGCAGCAGAAAAGAGACAAGAGAGAGGAGGGCACCCTGGCGGGGCCCTTCTCCTCAAACAGAGACCCTTTGTAGCCCTGAAATATATAGACTGTTCCTGGCTGCCCCCAGCTGCTTCCTTCCTAATAAAGAAAAAAACTCCTTGCTAGAATGATTCGTGAGCTGTGCTGAGAGCTCCAGGCTGGAAGGGGTGAGGGATCCGTGTGGGGTACAAAGGGAGAGGGTTAATGGAGTTACATGGAGGCATTTCCCCATCTAAGGGTTAACAAGTGCATTTCCCCCAGCCCACTTGCAACCCCCCCCCCTCCCCACGGCTCTCAATTGCTGCTGCATCCGTAATAAACTCTTTATCAATTGCAGAAAGCTTTTCATGGCAAATCTTTGGCTATGGACACATGCTGTGCCCTCAAGGTTTTGGTGAGTCCATGAACCCTTCCAGTCCTATCAGTTGCCTCTAAAATTGGAAAGGACCCCAAACACTATTTAGACTGGATCTGCACTGCCCTATTTTCCAGGATCTGATCCCAGATTATCTTATTTGAACTGCGTTATATGAGTCTAGACTCATATTATTTATATTATTTATAGTATTTATATTCCGCCCTTTTCACCCCACAGGGGACTCGGGGCGGATCACAATGCACATATACATGGCAAACATTCAATGCCATAGACACACAACATATATAGACAGACAAACAGAGGCTATTTAACTTTCCAGCTTCAGAGGGTATGCTTTGAATTCCCGCCACCAGGGGAGCTGTTGCTTCACCGTCCACTCGCGACACCGATGGAGTACTTCCTCATTCTTTTGCACGCTGCTGGAGAGTTTTATGGCATCATAAATTAGTTAAATTAGCCTCCSTGCATAGGCATTACCTAAATTTCCTACTTGACAGATGCAACTGTTGCAACTCAGGGTAGTCTTCACCTTGCTCCAGACACCACCACACCAAARCTGTAGGTTTTGTAGTTTATTGAGAAATAGGCAAAATCAAAACAAAGTATAAGAAATACAAAATTTCCATAGGCAGGACAAAGGCTTAAATGCAAAGATAAAGTTCCCAAGATCCAAAGGCAAAAACATGAAGCATAATCCCTTAGCAATGGTCAAACAAGAGTCCATGGAAAACAGTTGAAAACAAGATCCAAATCCCAGACTCRGGAAGCCAGAAGCGTGCTGAAAAAGCCAAAGTTAATCCACAGAAGTTTGCATGGGAACAGCTACATTGGACTGACAACCCCTGCTTGTCAGCTACAAGGCTAAATACCCTTTGCGGACATGAACGCATTGCGTTGACCTTTGGCACCCTTAGCTTCTCGCTTGCTAGCCAAGCGAGTGCTTCTCTGGAGCCTTAATTGCAGATGATCCTGTCTGTTCATTAATTCATTATCTTCAAGGCTATGTAACCCCTTATCTTATTTATTATTATTTATTTATTTATTTACTTTGCTTATATACCGCTGTTCTCAGCCCAGGGGCGACTCACAGCGGTGTACAACATAGGAACAACAAAATTCAAGACATAGTATAAAAACAATTCTGGCCCCAGAGTGGACCAGATCACTATGGGGAGGAAAAGACTTCTCCACCTGGCCGTGTGGGATTTCACTCTCGTTATCAGTCTCACTAACATTCCTTTTCCCTGGGAACTGACTTGCTGTTTCTCCTTCAGCAGCCCCACCGTCTGCCCTGTCTGAAGCATGTACACAAATCTGTAACCCATCAGCCTCCTCATCATCCTGTGGGAATTCTGGCTCAGAAGGCCCAAAGAGCACAGCTTCAGGCTCAGAGTCAAGCTGAGTCACAACAGCAACTGTCTTTCGGGCTGCAAAGGTCGACAGCAAGCTAGACAAATGGTTGGGAGCTTAGTCCCGCCTGGGCTGGCTTCGAACTCATGACCTTTCGATCAGTAGTGATTTTCATACAGCTGACTCCTAACCAGCTGCGCCACAACCTGGTCCAGATAATCTGCCAGATAAACTGTTATAAACAGAATAGCAGGCTATATTTTAGAGGATGCAGCTGGGAAAACCACCAGCTTAAGGAAACCCTACAAAATTCACAAGATCACCATAAATCGACAGGTGTCTTTGATATGGAATTTAGACCGCAATAAGATGAGAATCTGCCTTGCAAGCATAATCCTAACCAAAATTAATAACCAAAATTCCAGATTAAAGCCACAACAGGAAGTGAAGGCAAAGAACAGAGGTGTTTTATTGCATTCTTGGCCAAGAAGTGATGCTTTTGGTCTCCTGCCCCAAAAGTACAAGCATAAAATAGTGTCCAAAATGGTTTTATGCAACCAGGTTACCATTGTTCAGGTTTGAATCATTCCTCCTTTGGTTAGCCAGAAAAGACGCTGGCTAGGATCCACTCTGGGATTGGTTTAGAGTGGAGGCTGCAGAGCCACCCCCATGGGAGGGCACAACCTGGAAATATAGCTTAATCCAGTTTTATATTAAACTAGCTGTCCCCTGCCATGTGTTGCTGTGGCCCACTCTATATATGTGTTTTTGTCTGTATATATGTGGTTTTGCGCATGCATTGTAATTTTTTTTGGCTTTTTAAGTCTCTTCTGCTGTGTTTTTCAGTGTTTTTATGAGTGATGGTCACTCGTTGGCCTGATAGGTGTATTGTGTCCAAATTTGGTGTCAATTTGCCCAGTGGTTTTTGAGTTATGTTAATGTCACAAACAAACATTACATTGGGTTGTTGTAGGTTTTTTCGGACTATATGGCCATGTTCTAGAGGCATTCTCTCCTGACGTTTCGCCTGCATCTATGGCAATCATCCTCAGAGGTTGTGAAGTCTGTTGGAACTAGGAAAATTGGGTTTATGTATCTGTGGAATGACCAGGGTGGGACAAAGAACTCTTGTCTGTTGGAGCTAGGTGTGAATGTTTTAACTGACCACCTTGATTAGCCTTTGATGGCCTGGCAGTGCCTGGGGCAATCTTTTGTTGAGAGATGATTAGATGTCCCAGATTGTTTTCTCTCTGTTGTTTTGCCAGTAGGCTGTTAAGAAATGTAGGAATTGAAGTCCAAAACACCTGGAGAGCCAAAGTTTGCCCAGACCTGATAAATTATCCCCATCAGGTTGTTGTTTAGCATCTTTATAGAAGACGTCTGGAGAAGGTGACCCCATGAAGACACTCTACAGGAGTCTACCCTGTGCCATGCAGCTGTGGACAAGTCTACATAGGGACCACCAAACGCAGCATTGCCCAAACACAGATCAAGGAACATGAAAGGCCCTACAGACTACTTCAACCAGAGAAGTCAGCCATAGAAGAGCACCTGATGAACCAACCTGGACACAGCTTATTATTTGAGAACACAGAAAGGCTGGACCACTCGAACAACCACCCTGTCAGACTACAGAGAGAAGCCACTGAAATCCATAAGCATGTGGACAATTTCAACAGAAAGGAAGAACCATGGAAATGAACAAAATCTGTCTATCAGTATTAAAAAAACCCTCTAAAATTACAACAGCAAAACAACAAAGAGGAAACAATCAGGGACAGCTAATCACCTCTCAACAAAAGATTGCCCCAGGCACGGCCAGGCCAACAAATGCTAATCAAGGTGGTCAGTTGAAACATTCACACCTAGCTCCAACAGAAGCCTTAAAAGAATCTTATGGAAGACCGATCATAAAGACAAACTGGAAAATAGTGGACGACTACTTCACCGAAGAAAATAGACAAAAAAACTAATAAAAGGAAAGGAAGAGTATGACACATGAAAGCAGTATAGAAGAGAAAGAAAAGAGGAGAAAGGAAACATCAAGATCACGATATAAGTGGAAAGGGAAGACATATTAAAGGTAAAATGGAACAGAACGGCTGTGGATATGTGGAGAAGAAGATTGGAAGTTGATGTGCTTTCCCCTACCTTCCCCCCCCTTCCTGCACCCTCTACACACACACCCTTTTTTTTATTATTGAACCCCCCCCCCCCCCGTATAAAATTTCTATGTATACATTCGGCCCAATACGACCCTACACCCTTATCCTGTTTTTATGTATATTTAAAGAGAAATGTATTTAATAAAAAGTATTTAATAAAAAAAATTAATAGGGTTGTTGTAGGTTTTTCTGGGCTATATGGCCATGTTCTGGAGGCAATTTTTCTCCTGACGTTTCGCCTGCATCTATGGCAAGCATCCTCAGAGGTAGTGAGGTCTGTTGGAAGTAGGAAAAATGGGTTTATATATATGTGGAATGACCAGGGTGAGACAAAGGACTTTTGTCTGCTGGGGCTAGGTGTGAATGTTTCAGCTGATCACCTTGATTAGCATTCAATGGCTTGGAAGTGCCTGGGGGGAATCTTTTGTTGAGAGTGATTTTATGTGCCTGTTTGTTTCCCCTCTGCTGTTTTGCTGTTGTAATTTGAGAGTTTTTTTTAATACTGGTAGCCAGATTTTGTTCATTTTCATGGTTTCTTCCTTTCTGTTGAAATTGTCCACATGCTTGTGGATTTCAATGGCTTCTCTGTGTAGTCTGACATGGTGGTTGTGAGAGTGGTCCAGCACTTCTGTGTTCTCAAATAATATGCTGTGTCCAGGTTGGTTCATCAGGTGCTCTGCTATGGCTGATTTCTCTGGTTGGAGTAGTCTGCAGTGCCTTTTATGTTCCTAAAAAAATTAATAGTGCCTGTAAAACCAAGCCGAACCGGAAGAATCCATGTCGCAAAATCCAAATTTCCTTTTCCTATTTCCTATAAGAGTGGCTTGTAGGTATTCTTCTGAACGTGCACAGACAACATTATCATCAGCATATTGGAGTCACCAGCATATTGGCTTTGAGGTTTGTGGAAACTAGGAAAATTGGCGTCATAAAATTGGCGTTGGAAACTAGGAAAATAGGGAGCCCCCGGTGGTGCAGTGGGTTAAAGCACTGAGCTGCTGAGCTTGTTGATCGAAAGGTTGCAGGTTCGATTCCGGGGAGCGGTGTGAGCTTCCGCTGTCAGCCCTAGCTTCTGCCAACCTAGCAGTTCGAAAACATGCAAATGTGAGTAGATCAATAGGTACCGCTCCGGCGGGAAGGTAACGGCGCTCCATGCAGTCATGCCGGCCACATGACCTTGGAGGTGTCTATGGACAACGCTGGCTCTTCGGCTTAGAAATGGAAATGAGCACCACACCCCAGAGTCAGACATGACTGGACTTAATGTCAGGGGACTACCTTTACCTTTACATCATCAATACTACCCTACACCCTTATCCTGTTTTTATGTATAATTAAAGAGAAAATGTATTTAATAAAAAGTATTTAATTAAAAAAAATTAATAGTGCCTGTAAAACCAAGCCGAACCGGAAGAATCCATGTCGCAAAATCCAAATTTCCTTTTCCTATTTCCTCTAAGAGTGGCTCGTAGGTATTCTTCTGAATGTGCACAGACAACGTTGTCATCAGCATATTGGAGTCACCAGTATATTGGCTTTGAGGTTTGTTGGAAACTAGGAAAATTGGCTATATATATCTTATATATTAGGAGCATAGTGTCTAGATCTAGGGAAGTAATGCTACCCCTCTATTCTGTTTTGGTTAGAACACACCTGGAATATTGTGTCCAATTCTGGGCACCACAATTCAAGAGAGATATTGACAAGCTGGAATGTGTCCAGAGGAGGCGACTAAAATGATCAAGGGTCTGGAGAACAAGCCCTATGAGGAGCGGCTTAAGGAGCTGGGCATGTTTAGCCTGAAGAAGAGAAGGCTGAGAGGGGATATGATAGCCCCATGTATAAATATGTGAGAGGAAGCCACAGGGAGGAGGGAGCAAGCTTGTTTTCTGCTTCCCTGGAGACTAGGACGCGGAACAATGGCTTCAAACTACAAGAGAGGAGATTCCATCTGAACATGAGGAAGAACTTCCTGACTGTGAGAGCCATTCAGCAGTGGAACTCTCTGCCCCGGAGTGTGGTGGAGGCTCCGTCTTTGGAAGCTTTTAAACAGAGGCTGGATGGCCATTTGTCAGGGGTGATTTGAATGCAATATTCCTGCTTCTTGGCAGGGGGTTGGACTGGATGGCCCAGGAGGTCTCTTCCAACTCTTTGATTCTATGATTCTATATTATCTATGTGGAAAGGGGAGATGCAGCACAAACTTGATGCTTTTACATCCCCCCCTTTCACTTTGAGAAAATGGTTCAAACCTAGGTTGTATGTTGAAAGTCTTTTGAAAGACTTTCCTACATTTCCCTCCCCAAAGAAATAAAAAATGCCAATTCAGGGGGGAAAGAAGGTTGTGTGTGATGGTGGAAATCGAAGGCCATTTCGGGATTCAAAACGCCAGAGGTATTTTTCAGCACAAAGGGGTGAACCAAAGCTGATTCTTCTCCGTTTCCCCCTTTCTCAGGAAAAGAATGGTACAGTCCCAGACTGCACTTTATGGTTCCTGCCAGTGGGCGTGGCCAAGGCCGAGGGGGCGTGGCTAACCTCCCCAGTTCAACCTAGTTGTTGGAGTGGCTGGAAAACCTTGAACCTGCAGATCAGCAGAATCAGAGAAGGAAGCTGGTGGTCTGTGGGGCTCTCAAGTAAGGATCGTTACTTTTAGAAACGGGGTACCCGCCCAACATTCCTTATAATGACCTTTTAATCCCCTCCTCACCCTTCTATTGTTGCGGAAGAGAGGAGGTGCGTCTACACTGTCGAATTAATGCAGTTTGGTCCCACTTGTACTGGAATGGAATCAGGGGAGGGGTAGTTTTGCAAGATCTGATGAATACTGGTGCCTTCCCAAGGTACAGAGTCTAAGATTCCATTGTACTGAGCCATGGCAGTTCAAGTGGGGTCAAACTGGGTTAATTCTGCAGTGTAGATGCACCCAAGGAGAGGCAAAGGGACTCTGGGTGATCTCTATGCTCCCAAAGCAGTTTCTTTGTCTTCCTGGTAACAAAGGTTTAAGGGAGGTATCTTTTTTCCTGACTAATTTCTTATACTATACTATTTTGTACTATATTATACTCTACTATACGAGGCATGGGCAAACTTGGGCCCTCCAGGTGTTTTGGACTCCAACTCCCACAATTCCTAACAGCCTCGGGCCCTTTTCTTTTCCCCTCAGCTTCTTGGCACTTGTTTCTCTTTTGTCCTCCATTCGTGTCTCTTCAAATTCTACAGCACTGCTGGTCACAGCCGACCTCCAGCTGGAGCGCTCAAGGGCCAGGGCTTCCCAGTTCTCAGTGTCTATGCCAGAGTTTTAAAGGTTGGCTTTAAACCCATCTTTAAATCTCTTTTCCTGCCCACAAACATTCGGTTTTCCATTCTTGAGTTCAGAGTAGAGCAACTGTTTTGGGAGACGGTGGTCAGGCAATTGGACAACGTGGCCGGTCCAGCGGAGTTGATGGTGGAGGACCATTGCTTCAATGCTGGTGGTCTTTGCTTCTTCCAGCACGCTGATCTTCCCAGGAGATTTGCAGGATTTTTCGGAGGAAACGCTGATGGAATTGTTCCAGGAGTTGCATGTGATGTCTATAGACAGTCCACGTTTTGCAGGCATACAGCAGGGTTGGGAGGACAATAGCTTTATAAACAAGCACCTTGGTCCTCTAACACTCTCTGCTTCATTCGGAAAAATGCTGCACTCGCACAGCTCAGGCGGTGTTGTATTTCAGTGTCAATGTTGACGTTTGTGGAGAGGTGGCTGTCAAGGTAGCAGAAATGGTCAATGGTTTCTAATGTTACACCATTAAGCTGAATTTCTGGCATCGCAGATGGGTTGGTTGGTGAGTGCTGGAAGGGCACTTTGGTTTTCTCAATGCTCAATGACAGGCTGAGCTTCTCGTATGCTTCTGCGAAAGTGTTTAGAATGGCTTGTAGGTTTTCTTCTGAATGCGCACAGATGACGTTGTCATCAGTATACTGGAGTTCTATAACAGATGTTATTGTAACTTTGGTTTTGGCTTTCAGTCTGCTGAGGTTAAATAGCTTGCCATCTGTCTGATAGATGATTTCCACTCTGGTGGGAAGCTTTCCATTAACAAGATGAAGTATCATAGCGATGAAGATGGAAAATAAGGTTGGGACAATAACACATCCCTGTTTGACACCTGATTCCACCTTAAATGGGTCACTTTGGGAGCCATTGCCGTCCAATACTGTTGCCACAGTCGTCATGTTAACCATGCCACTTGATGGAACCTCATTCTGTGAAGGCTGTGTGTTGATCAGTTGTGCACTGACCTCCACACATTAAAAAAGCTCACGCACAGGCGTCTTCCAAGAAAAAATAAAAACGAAACCGTAGTGAGTGAGATGGGTTCATAGATTCCGTACAGAACAGCTTGAGTCCCATTATACCAGTGGTTCCCAACCTTTTTTTGACCAAGGACTACTTGACCAGGGACCGCTCGCCAACATTAGTACCAAAAGGGTTACAAATCAGTTTTTGGTCAACTTCAGATTTGGTTTGGTTATTTGGGGTGCTGATTCAGAAAACTCCATATTATAGACCGTGTCAGCTCTACTTTCTGATACAGAACATATGCCATCCAGTAGTCGCCATCTGCTTGGCCTTAGAAAACCATATATAATCTAGAGCTGATATGGTAGAGGTACTCTTTCAAGCATAGTCAGCCTCTCCCCTCCTGACATTCCCGTTGCCTTGACACTATAAAAGGGTTTTGTGTGACCAGTCGCTCTTGTTGCCACATGGTTTTGAGGCAACGGTGTAGTAATGGTGAGGCCGCCAACTATATTTTAGTTCTTGCAAAGCAATGGTGGTCCATGGACCACAGGTTGGGAACCACTATATTATACAAACATGGCCAGGACACCAGAAGGTCCTGTATAATGTATTGTTGAAGGCTTTCATGGCCAGAATCACTGGGTTGTTGTAGGGGTTTTTGGACTATATGGCCATGTTCTAGAGGCATTCTCTCCTGACATTTTGCCTGCATCTATGGCAAGCATCCTCAGAGGTAGTGAGGATGCTTGCTATAGATGCAGGCAAAATGTCAGGAGAGAATGCCTCTAGAACATGGCCATATAGCCCGAAAAAACCTATAACAACCCAGCCCTGTATAATGTAATATAATATATTGTATATACATATAATATTTATAATATTATAATGTAATGCAATTTAAAAACCTACAACAACCCAGCCCTGTATAATGTAATATAATATATTATATATACATATAATATTTATAATATTATAATGTAATACAATATAATAATATGATATTATAATTATATATTTATATTACATGTAATATTACTAATAAATAATTATAGTATTAATACTGATATTGTACTATGCTAAAAATATAATATATTGTATGTGTGTGCAATATTATATATTGTATGTTCATCTGTGTATGGAGCCACTGGTGGCACAGTGGGTTAAAGCGCTGAGCTGCTAAGCTTGTTGACCAAAAGCTCGCAGGTTTGATTCCGGGGAGCGGCGTGAGCTTCTGCTGTCAGCCCTAGCTTCTGCCAACCTAGCAGTTTGAAAACATGCAAATGTGAGTATATCAATAGGTACCACTCCTGCGGGAGGGTAACGGCGCTCCATGCAGTCATGCCGGCCACATGACCTTGGAGGTGTCTATGGACAACGCCGGCTCTTCGGCTTAGAAATGGAGGTGAGCACCACACCCCAGAGTCAGACATGACTGGACTTAATGTCAGGAGACAACCTTTACCTTTGTGTGTGTGTGTGTGTGTGTGTGTGTGTGTATAGTAAGCCACTCTTGAGTCCCCTTTGGGGTGAGAAGGGCGGCATATAAATGTTGCAAATAAATAAATAAATAAAGGCTGAAGTAAGGAGCAGATCTCATCCCTCCATAGACTAGGAACCTCTCTTCCTTGCTGAAGAGGCTGCCAGGAACCCAAGAGGTCACAGTGGAGGTCAATTGAATGCGATTTTCATGCTTCTTGGCCCAGGTTTGGACTGGATTGCCCATGAGGTCTCTTCCAACTTTATGACTGTATGTTTCTATGAATGCTAGGATCTGTGGCTTCCCCAAACAGCCTTGAAAGGTGATTGTTGTCTTCTTCTTTGTTGGAGTGCCAACTGGAGAGCTTCTAGCCTTGCTCTTGGCTGTGAGAAGGAGTCACCCAGCCTGTTCTTTGCTGACTCAGTGGCTTCTGCTCATCAAAACAAGCTGAGTTGGGTGTGGATACTCCTTGCCTGCTTCCTACCGATTATGCAGCTCAGTGTCATGATGGCAGAAGAGCTTCTCTTTCTGTAACTATGACACATCTTGGTTTTCCGTTCCCTTTGGCACAAGAGAAAGAGAGAGATGGGTCCTGGATGGGTACAGGCAGGGGCGGCTCAACCCATTACGCAAAGTAAGCATTTGCAGTATAGTTGATTTTGCCCAGGGGCGCTCTTGAGGCGCTCTTGGGGGAACATAGACCTTGACATATGTGAGTTGTAGTAACTGGGATGTATAGTTCACCTACAATCAAAGAGCATTCTGAACTCCACCAATGATGGAATTGAACCAAATATGGCACAGAGAACTCCCACGACGAACAGAAAATATATATCAGTGATTGGTTGGGGTGTGTGTGTGTGTGTGTGTGTGTGTGCCAAAATACTGTTTGCTTCCCATTGAAAATTACCTAGGGCTGCCTCTGGGTACAGGCAGAAGGACCATTCTTGGAGGCCACATTTTTGGGTAATATTGTCTCTGTTTAAGAACGTCATTCATTGGTAGGTGCTATACAGGAATGGCTCGTAAATGCATCACTCACCATTTGCATTCTGCCACTACATGAGCAACAAGGAAGGAAAGATCTCACACCTCCTGAGAGTGCATTTTTAGGACCTGACATGAATTTGGAACATTTATCCAGATGTGGTGGGGTTGTGCCAAGGTACAAGAAGTCTACAGGAAAATAAAGGGTGAAATAGAGGATATATTAGGGCAAAAATCAGTACTGAATTTAAAAACAGTTTTTAAATCCTGAAACTGGAAAGGGAATAATGATTGGCCTGAGATGATATAATATATACTAGCTGCGGCACAAGATACAGTCACCCTGAGATGGAAAGAATATTAAAAATGGGATGCACAAAAATTGAATGAATATTTGTCAGATTACATGTTCCAAGACTACATTATGGGTAGGAAAAATAAATATATTAATAGATATCCTAGGGCAGTGGTTCTCAACCTTGCTAATGCCGTGACCCCTTAATGCAGTTCCATAAGTTGTGGTGACCCCCAACCATAATATTGTTTTCGTTGCTACTTGATACCTGTCATTTTAGTACTGTTATAAATCGTAATGTAAATATCCGATATGCAGGATATATTTTCATTCACTGGACTAAATTGAGCACAAATACCCAATATGCCCAAATGTGAATGCTAGTGGGGTTGGGGGGAGGATTGATTTTGTAATTTGGGAGTTGTAGTTGCTGGGATTTATAGTTCACCTATAATCAAAAAGCATTCTGAACTCCACCAGCGATGGATTTAAACCGAACTTGGCACAAAGAACTCCCATGACCAACAGAAAACACTGGAAGAGTTTTGTAGGCATTGACCTTGAGTTTGGGAGTTGTAGTTCACCTATA